AGAACTCTGTACAGAGGCGACGGTGACGCTGTATGCTGTCTGCAAGACGCCGGACGTCGACCCTGATCCAGGGTGTGTCTACCGTAGACGACGGTGCGCGGGTTTACACTCTCGTCAACGGTATGACGGGGAAGGAAGATGACGACGTCCGCCTCGAGGCTATGGCTGCAGTAGATGATCTTCTTTTGCTGGACGAGATGCCCCTTGAAGAGTTCGGCAGTGCCTTGAAGGCAGACGATTTGGCAGATGTGGTCATTGTACGACCGAACGAGGAGATAAAATCGTCATTGCTTCTGGATGGGGCTTATTTGGAGGACACCAAGAGAGTGCTGAATGGACGAAGTGGATTGTCGGCCCTACGGAATCCTTCAGATTCGTACTATAATTCGGTAAAGGAATTTCAGGACGTCGTCTCCAAAGACCCGCCTTCGGTCCTACCTCCAGACCGACGTGTGCGTCATGAGATCGATCTGGTTCCGGGAACAAAATACTGCGTAACACGCCAATGGCCCCTGCCCAAGGAGCAGTGAGATGTCAATCTTAAACCGAAGGGTCAATTAGCCTTGGGAAGGCAGTAATTACTCTTCGAGTAACCTGATTGCGATCCGCTAACTCATACTTGATTCTTGTTAAGAACGAAATGTCGATGACCTAAAGTACGCTTCCTCAAGTGCTTAGCACGGCAGCCCCGCTGCAGAAGTCATAAATGTCTATGAACTATGATACAGATGAACTTACAACTGAGCAAGATTTCATGTTGGGTAAAGTCCAACAAATAGTGAGTGGAAACACTTGAAACTCACTCCGAAACAAAAAGTTCGTAGCCTTGCATAAGATACCGTATTCAGACTTTTCTTCTCATGTATCATTCGATTGTATATTAGAATTGGTACTGTAGAGTGTATATTATTAGCTAGGAAGTCACCACATCCATAAACTATAATATAGACGAATATCGTGGTGATGGAGAATGGCAAGAATCGGACGGAAGCACTTGCCAGTGTGTTGAAAGGTAATGAAACGCTTGAATATGCATGTAGTCTACCGCATTTAGCACAGAGACATACGCTGCAAATGTCGAGAGGCATCACATGCCAAGATGTACGTGATCTATTAGGGGTTGTGGCTTGCATTGTACCCTTTAATTTCCCGATTATGGTTCCGATGTGGACAATTCCTATCGCATTGACAATGGGGAATTGTGTCATTTTAAAGCCATCAGAAAAGGTCAGGGAAAGTCGAATCTATATATGTATTGATAATGAATATTTCATGTAAACATGTATTGTGTTGTTTTTCTAGGCTCCATTGACGATGACACGAGCTGCCGAGCTATTGCATCAAGCGGGAGTACCAAAAGGCGGGTTTCAGGTGCTTACTTAGCATCTGAGAAGAATTTTTTATATATTTATCAATTAAGTAGATTATCAACGGAAGTGTAGGCGCTGTCAATAGCTTGTGTGACCATACAAAAATTGTGGCTGTCACATTCGCTAGGTCAAGTCATGTGGCACAACTTGTCGCTCGTCGATGTCATGCCCTGGACAAGCGTGTCTTGGCGTTTGGTGGTGCAAAGAACCACCTTGTTGCACTACCAGACGCTGATATTGAAATGGCGACAAAATATATTGTAATCTCTTTTGCTGGATGCGCTGGACAGCGCTGCATGGTAGCATCGGTTCTCAATATAGTAGGGGACTGCGATGCGCTGCTTGCAAAGATTGCTGAAAAGTCCAAGGAATTATGTCGCGGTACCGAAGCTAGTCATGTTGGTGCGCTTATTGATGAGATCTCGAAATCACTTAAGTACATTAGTGAAGCTGAAGGCGTCAAAAGTTTAGTTGACGTGCGATCATGGGCTAAAGAAGCTGGGTGGGACATACAGTTTTATTGCATACAACCTCGACGATGCTGCAATGGAAGGCGAGATTTTTGGTCCCGTTCTCTCCGTATACCGTGTCAACTCATTCGAGGAGGTTTTGCAGATTGAGAATGACAATGAACTTGGCAATGCCGCTTCTGCAGAAAACTATTTTCAGACGCGTTTCGTGCAGGTATGATTGGAAATAATATTCGAACTCCAGTCCACGTGAGCCCTTTAGCTGTGGTGGCTTGTATGACACAACAAGGAAATATGGACATCACGGTAATGAATACGTCGAACTTTTTTTCTCTCGCTGTAAAATTACTGCAAAGTGGAGCACGGGATCACTTGTTAAAAGATGAAGCCAATTTTAGCGGACAAATGTGAATGACCGATCAGGTAGGTGAAAAGTCGTTACTGGTGTTCGACAACTCTGATACTCCGATGTCGTTTTGAAATTAAGAAATTAAGGCAGAGTACTTGGTAAAACACCTTTTAGCATATTAAAATTTATATATAAATCCATCATATCAAGATCGCGTCAGTTTTCAACGTGCTGAAAAAATACATCGATTGTTGGAATTTCTCTTATACCTTCTACTTGATAACCACGTTGTAGATCACATCGACATTTTGTGCTTGTCGGCAAACCTTACATAAATGTACATAGTTTTAGTCATAATGCACTATATGCCAAACCGTAAGAAATTGTCCAAAAGCACGAGCTCAACCAGATCGCGTGCGGGAGAAACGTTAGACTTTCAACTACAATACATTTGTTACTAGCAAGTTTAGTATACCGCTAGAAAGCGGGACATAGTCCTTACCATTCTAAATCCGCGTTTTCCCATTACTTTTATTTTTTTAGATATTCAAAACGCTTTGATGCACCACAGCTACTTATTTTTCTTGGGTGTGAGAATCCTATTTAATGCTCGGCTCGCAGTCGTTAGATTTAGCGACTATTACATTGATTATGTTCGTGAAGTTAGTCAAAGGTACGAAGTTGGTTACGTATGCCAAGAGCGAGTTGGCAGTCCTTCCGTTCAAATGGTATATACAAAGCAAATGATACTTGTGGTTGCCGGAACGTTTGAGCTACACGATTTATTTGATGTAATGCATTGTCTTTGAAATTGCAATGTTTATCTTTCGTGGTCTAGTCATAAGCGATTTTTTCTTTCTGTAAATAATAAACAAGGCAACAAAATCATATTTACCTACATGCGCTTAGTTACAATCGCATTATCTGATCGCTCGTGCAACAGATAACAATCTAATTGAAGCGTTGACTGGACGCAATCTTATGGTGTAAATCGCAGTGAATATCCGATGGTACCTAAATAGAAGTATGTCCTTTTTGTATAGGATCCTTTGATGTATGTGTTCATCTTCCATGGACATTTCTCTTGATTTCAGTATGAAGAAATTTGCATGTTGACATTAGGGGATCAGATCAATATCTCTGACAATAATAAAGCGGCTACGATTGCTAAACATCTGTTGCTTTGAAGCTCCCTTCTATCTGACTGATACCATATACAAAGGCCTACCTTTGCTGCACCGAACTTTATTTAATTAAAATACGAAAAGTCATTGCTTCTAAATATCGCTCGATGACATTGACACTTATTACGTAGCTTTCATTAAATGGTTTCACGAGATGGATCTAATATTTTTAACACCAGTACGCACGAGAAGCAACACACTTGTTACAAAGATCCTTACTCTTAGGATGTGTTAAAATGCTTACTGTTGCTCTTTACAGCTTATATTCGATATAAACAACTCCAATATCATTTTGAGCCGTTAGAAATTCATTGTTCCATTTTTTGGGTAAATGTATTATAATAAGAGACTATTAAAATGCATCAATAATACTCACCGAAATTAATATAACAAGATCTTTTAATATATTCAGGTATCAGGAGCCCTGGAGAACCGTAAGGGTATCTAGAGAAAGGGTCAAATGTGGTAAGAGAAGGATCAAAATGTGATCACATACACCAATGATCTCTCGATATGCGTACGTCTCTGAACATCTTTCATCATGTTTATCAACCCATCGCTGCTTCCTTCAAATCTTCTTCACCTAAAGTGTCCTCAGTTTACGTATTTCAAAATATCCTGAAAAACGTTCGTATTCGTTTTTAAGTACCTCCATGCGTTCCCCTAGCGTGTACATACTATTGACCACGACGGCACTATTAGTGACTCGATCTACTGCTTTAACAACACAGCCGTTGTTTACACCGTCTGACGAGGAGCTCAAGCCTACCACGAAGAGAAATGCAACAAAGATTTCCGTGCGAGCTCCTTCTGCTAATGTCGACGAGAAATTACTCGAATCACGAAGTAGTGGAACAGGGGCAAGCAAAATGGCAGTAACGCTTCATCTCGTTGGTGGTATTGAGAATAGCGCGCAGCAGGAGGCAAAGCAAGCAATGAAGAAGCTTCCAGAGATGCTACACCCGAGGGTCCCGCATGACAGTCAACACTTCGTACGGGATAGTAAAATGGGGATTCCGTCATCTTCAACTGCTTTGCACGATCAAACTTTGTCGCAGAAGCAAATAGAGGTCGGGTTGGCGTTTTTAAAAGAATACAATAAAAACATGGAGCACGCAGAAGTCATTGATCAAGCTGAAGTATTAAAATGTCTCGAAAAAGACGACATTTCTGGTTTGGAGGCGTTGGTGGTTGAACACAACAAACCATTAATCTCCGCGAAGAGGATGAATTTGGCTACATTACTGAATCTTGTTTACGGCGATAAAAATGCTAGGGATATGATCAATACTTTTACAAAAACGTTCAAAAGTAGCAGTATTAAGAGGAAAGGAATGAAAGTCGCTGCAACCCAACCATTCAAGAACTCTCATCAGCTATTGGACAAGCGCTCGACGCCAGTCACTGAAGAGACGAAGTCTCTTACACGTTACGGATATACGTGGCCCGATCCAGTTTTGACTGAGGCATTTGCTGCGTATTCACCACACATAAACCAATTTCAACTTACGGAATGGAAAAATCAGGGCAAACTCGCAGAAGACATGGTCGAAAAATTGTCAAATTATCCTCATGAAGAAGCTATACGAGATGGTTCGTTACTTAAGGCTTTCGTCGCGTATATTGACTTATGGAACATAAAGTTATCTCCCAAGGAACTGAACCTTTTCGAGTCATTAAAGACTCAATTCGGCGACTATGTTGCAGCCAGGTTGATCATCTCAGGCAAATATGGTAGCGATACCAATTTG